AGCACAATCGGCCATTGTTGTTGTTGTCGGTGTGAGCTGTGAGGGGTTTCCGCGCGGTTTGGCTTTATGAAGCAGGCACGCAAACGGTTACGTCATGACGCAAACGATGACGCAATGACGCAGCACCAGTCGGACTCTGGGCGGTGTGAAAAGAACCGGAGCTAAACCGAAGAACCGGTTCTGAACCAGAAAAGCTCTAGCACGGAGCTTGAACCGGAGTTGCGTTGGTGTGAACGAGGTATCTGTGTGACTGACTGAACTTTCTTCAAGAATAAAATATGACAAAGACAGCTGAATGGTTTGATTCTTTATCAACATTTGATAAATAAATTGCCATCACACCAGCAAACAAAAACAGGCGTACAAAAAAATAAAGAAATAATCTTCAGTGTTTAAGTGATGCGCTCAAGATTGCTTTAACTTAAAAAAGTCATGTTGGTGTAATGAGCGGTCAGAACACTCTACCTGCATCCACATTAATGATCAGATATCGCCGTTTATTTAAAGAAAAACATTTTCTCATCCAGAATTCACAATGCGGTCTCTATTGTGCGGTTAATACATTGTTTGCCTTCAACTCATCGTGAGCACCTGTCACCTGTCGTCTATTAAAACAATAATAAATATAAATAATAAAACATTCATAATATTTCATTAAAAATAGAAATAAGATAGAAATGCAACATGGCTTCAACAGGTGTGTTTTAGTGTTGATTATCATACTTCAGACCAGGGGGGTCAAACTCAAATACACAGTGGGCCAAAATAAAGAAATGGGTACTAGTGGAGGGCCGGGCTGGTTCAATGTTTATTGCAGAACTTATTGAAATGAACTTATTGCACATATTAAACCTGGAACTAACAAAGCTTAAATGATTGCCTATACAAACAACATTAAACATTAAATAATCAGTTGCATTCATTTCTTATGGCTCTATCTGCAGCTTTTCCAGAGTCATTTCTTATGGCTCTATCTGCAGCTTTTCCAGAGTCATTTCTTATGATCACATTTTCCCACAGGCCAACAACAGCTTCAACAAAACTATTCCCCTCAAAGAGAAAACCAAACATGCCCTGTTGTCGTGAGAGAGAAAGTGCAGAAGGAAACATCCATTAAAGATCAAATGCAAAGCTTCCAAATATGCTACATTTTTATAGAAATGTTGTTTTTAAGACTGTCTGTATTTTTTATTTAATTTAAATCGAGATAATACACCCGAAAAAAAAGCTTTTTATTGATACCAAACTCGACCCAACGCCGTCTGAATTTCTGACATGTCATTCCCAGCAGCCTCCGCGCGCGTGACGTCATTGTGGCCAAACAGTCTCTGGGCCAAATATCCCGACTCGGCAGTCTCGTGCGCTGTTCACATGTCAGCGGTGTTTTTCGCTCATGACTGGTGCAGAAAACTCTGAATGATATCCGCGAAATCACGCAAAACATGGGTTATTGTTGTGCTTTCGGATGTACGAACGGTGCGGGATCTGGGAGAAGTTGTCCACCACCCCGCGCTTGTGGGCTAGGTTTGTCAATGTATGTGAATCCTGCTGGGGTGATTTGATTTAAACTAAAATAGTCCAGGGTTTTTTGCCATGTTTCGGTCAGATACAGAAAGTCCAGGTCATTGTCTTTAATGAATTCATTCAGAATGTGGCTTTTATTGTGGATGGAGCGTGTGTTGAGCAGGGCTGCTCTGAGGTGACGTTGCATGGGGGGGGGGGAACGTGGAATGAAATACAAACTTACGGCCAGAGCCTCTGTGTGGAAGACGGCGTTTGCGGAGTATTTCATTATCTGCGAGGATGTCCATGCAGTCCGGAGGAAGGCGGTTATTAAAGGAGTGGAGATCTGACAGGGAGTAGAGCGGCGGCATGATCCGGTGAAGTGGCGCTAGCACGGAGCTAGCTAATGCTGGGGACCCGGGCAGCAAAGACCAGGAGTCGGATGACCGTGGAAGAAGGAGCGGTGTGAGTCCAGATAAAATAAGAATTATAATCCACAGCATATCAGGAGAATAATTCCAGTGGTTTCCAGAGGAGAATCGTAGGAGGGGCTGACAGCCTGGTGCAGAGTGGGAGCCGGGTGAACAGCCTACTAGCTGGTTAGCTAGCTTGATAGCCACCGGCTGTAGGCGGCAGGGAGAGACGATGTCAGCGGGGAAGCTGGCTGATCGCAGCGGGATGGGAAGACCCACACGAGCCGCAGAGTTGGGGTGGAGACAGAAATGTTAGCTCAGCAGACTTCAGGGAGCCGAGGAGCATCTAGGTAGCAGCCTGCTAGGTCCGATAATGCTAGCTAGCTAGCGGGCTAGGGACCGGTGAGCAGGAAAGAGCCAGCAGCAGGTAGGAGATGACAACACAAAGATCTGTGTCGATTCGATATAGAGATGCTGCTATTTTTGCTGATGACTGACGTTTCAAAAGTAGAGAGCCAGACAGGAGAGGTTCTGATCTGGACTAAAGAACAATATTTGGGGCGGAGGAGCGGCGAACAAACAACGCCAGCACCCTCGGCGACCCGGGAAAAATAATCACCTACAATCAGTTAATACAACTGATTGATTGATTGATTGAAAAGTGTATTAACAGCTTGTATATTGGGTACAGTGAGTACAGCTCAAAACATACAATTGTTAAGGGGATGCAGACCAGAGAAAGACTTTCGTCTTGTTTACATCAGGGTCCCCCATTTCCAATTCATCATGTCATTTAAGACATATAAGACATATAAGACATACAGATGGCTTATTTACAATTTACATACAGGTGGTTTTTTACATACAGATTGCTTATTTACAATTTTCATTTTAGATTTCGTTCTAATACATCCTAACCGGACATTTAAGACATACCAAGTCTACAGATATACAGTTAGTAACAGAGTCTAAAATGCGAGTATATACATAGATGGGCGGGGGGGAAGCTGTCCATTGAACGACAGGTTGAGATTTGTATCATTACCGGGGCCAGTTTTGCAATGCTCTCCCCCGAAGGTGCTCTTTAAGAGAGGTTTGGAAGGTAAGTATAGTTTTACTTTCCTTTACAGTTGTGGGAAGAGCGTTCCACCTTGATGTGGCATAATTGCGAAACGTGTATTCCCCCTTTTTTGTGCCAAATCTGGGTTTCACATGATTTGTGGAGCTCCCTCTGGTGTTATGATCATGGTATTCCTTGACCTTTGGGAAGAATTTTGACATGTACATGGGTACCATAGAGGTGTAGTGGATCTTGTAGACCAGGCCCATTGCAAGTAGCTGTACTCTGTCGTCTACTCTAAGCCATGCTAGGTTGTCAAAGTGGGCAGAGGTGAGGTGGGTTCTAGATGAAAGGTCAAGCCAGTTTATTTTGCGATGTTTGAAGTTTTATTTTTAGCGCCTTGGAGGTGCTATGGTACCATGACGTGCAAGCATAGTCATAGTACCCTTGAATGAGTGCTCCTGCCAGAGTTTTCAGGGTGTTGTTGTTTACCAGAGAGGAGATCCGGTATAGGAATCTAGTTCTTTGATTGACTTTTTTTATTACATTGGATGCCATTTTGTCACAGGAGAGGTTTGCCTCAAGAATAGATCCTAGGTATGTAATTTCCTTCTTACTTGTGACAATAATGTCGCCCACTGCAACTGAGAAGTCGTCGGATTTGCTGAGATTATGTTTCGAACCGAAGAGAATGGACTCTGTTTTACCCAGGTGTAATGATAATTTATTATCGGCGAGCCAGGTGCAGATTCTGCCGAGCTCGGAGCTGAGGGTTTTTTCAACCTGCAACCTGTTCCTGTCAGAGACCAGCAGGGCTGAGTCGTCCGCGAACAGGAACAAGTTGCAGTCACATGCTGATGACATGTCATTTACATAAATTAGGAACAGTAACGGACCTAATATGCTTCCTTGTGGAACACCACAGCTCACTGGGAGGGGGGGGGGGGGGGCAGAGTACCATTTACCTCCACCATCTGTTCTCTCCCCTCCAGGTAGGATTGCATCCAGCTCACCGATAGTTTATCAAAAGCAATTGCTTTTAGCTTGTCAATCAGAATGGGGTGATTGACAGTGTCGAAAGCCTTTTGTAGGTCCAGCATCACCATGCCGCAGTACTTGCCCTCGTCCACCTCTTGTTTGATGTGGTCGCTCAAATAAAGAAGGCATGTGTCAGTGGAGTGGGATGTTCTAAAGCCAGATTGAAATTCATAGATTAGTTTCTTTTCCGCGAGGTACTTTTCGACCTGTTCATATACTATTTTTTCCATGACTTTCGAGATGGAGGTAAGTATAGAAACAGGGCGGTAGTTGCCTGGGTCCAATTTGCTGCCCTTTTTGTGCAGGGGGGTTACTCTTGCAATTTTGAAGTCTTTGGGTACTTTCCCCTGTTTTATGGAGAGGTTAATTATGTGAGCTATGACTGGTGAGATGGCGGTTGCTGTGTCTCTGAGGAATTTGGAGGGGATATTGTCGTGGCCAGTGGCCTTGTTAGGTTGGAGGGCGCTCAGTTTAATGAGTACCTCTGCTGTTGTTACCCTTGCTAGACTGAAATCATCTTTGCGTACCCCTAGGTTTTTGTAGTAGGTCATGATGTGATCTACTCCAAAAAGCCCTGAGTGGGAGGGTAATTTATTTACAAGAGTTATGTGCAATATACCGGCGGGCCAGAACTAGGGCTGGGCGATTTTTTCGGTTTTCACGATTAATTGCATTTTTACTTTCCTACGGTTTGTGAAATGGCTAAACCGAAAAACCGCGATTTTTTTTTGGATCTGTAATCAAAAAGCTCCTCAAAAACACTATCGAAGCAGTTCCTGCCGTTGCTACGTTAGTTCAAACAGTAACAACGCACTATTTTTCTTAGCGGATGCATGTCAATTTAAATCAATACAAAACTATTTTTTAAATCAATAAAATCATTTTCTAAATCCATAAAAGCATTTCAATTAATATTGGGAGTCATGTCGTTACTTTGCTGAGAATTTGGCCATGTAATAAGCGGGATAATGTGCACATTGCACATTGCATAATGTGCCTTCATGGCGATCCCTCCGCAAAAAAAACGGCTCGTTCGCGGGCGAGAGCCGGCTCCCGTCGTTCACTTAAATAGTTCGCGACCGACACATCACTACGACAGACGTAGCATAAAAATGTCCACGAACACAGATGAAGAAGAACTCATTCCTAAAAAAGGTACCACTTCAGTAAGTTCAGTTGTATGGAAGTGGTTCGGGTACAAGCAGTCAGACATAGAACAAACAACTGTTCTGTGTAAGGTCTGTAGAAAGACGATCGCTGCAAAACATGGGAACACAACCAACTTATTCCAGCACCTGCGACAGAGACATGCAGTGGAATGGCAGCAGTGTGTAGCACTAAGAGATGCAGATGCTAGCTCAAGCCACAAAGCGCCTGCAAAAAAGCAGGTAACCTTGGCAGCAGCATTTTCAACAGTCATTCCTTATGACAAGAAAGGGCCCCGGTGGGAGGCGATCACAGATGCGGTGACATATTACATCGCAAAAGATATGGTCCCCATCTATACCGTAGAAAAAAAACGGGTTCATTAAGATGCTGCAAACGATAGACCCGAAATATCAACTGCCCAGCCGCAAGCATTTCGCCACAGTTGCATTGCCCAATTTATATAACAAAACAAGAGCTACAGTCGCAGAGCAGATGCAAAACGTAGTTTATTATTCCACCACTACCGACCTATGGTCCAGCCGAACCACACACCCATATTTGAGTCTGACCGTGCATTTTATTGACGGAGAATGGGCCCTGCGAGGCATGTGCCTGCAGACATCGTACTTCCCGGACGACCACACTGGCGAAGTAATAGCCCAAGGGTTACAAGACTCGCTGGCCTCCTGGAAGCTTCGAGAAGACCGTCTTGTTTGCATGACTACGGACAGCGGTTCCAACATGATTAAAGCCTTGAGACTGACTGAGTGGCCCAACCTCCAATGCTTTGGACACAGACTTCACAATGCCATCAGTAAGTGACTACACAATGCATAACAAAGTGCTACATGTATGTATAAAAACGAATTGAATGGATTGATGCAGTTGCATATTAGGTTCAGTGATGGCAGTGTGGGGGAGGGGAAATGCAAGACAACCTATCTATTCAGTAAAAAAGTCTGGAGCCTTGATACAGTTATGCATAGTTGCCATAAGTACATAAATAATGTAATACTAATGTGTGTGTGTGTGTGTGTAGGCTACGCATTAATTAAATTATACTTTTCTTTGTCAAACAGAATTAAGCTTAATTAAGAAGTGTTAGACTATCATAATGTGTAAGATAATATGTATGTGTGTGTTCCTGTGGACACACACACACACTAGGCTATGTGTTAAAGAGAAACACATGCATACAATAATTTAACACTGTAACCCTCCCTCCTCCCACTGTTTTGTGCTACAGCCATGTCATTGTATTGTCATACAGTTTTTTCTTGTTTGTCTGTCATGGAAAATGTATAATATTTAAATCATAAAAAAAAGACTATCACAATGTGTGAATGCTGTCCTTGTCACATTGATTAAATGGTGCCATTCTAAAATGTTCCTTTTTGGTTTCTTCCCTTTTTCTTTCCTTTTTACAGTGAATGGTATGAAAGATCCACGGATTGACCGTGCCATCGGGGTTTGCAAAAAGGTTGTAAGTACCTTTTCCTTCAGTTGGAAGAAGAGAAGAGATATGGCAGTGGTACAGGCTGAGCTCGGTCTACCATCTCATAACCTCATCACCGAGTCCCTAACCAGGTGGGGTTCGAGACAACTGATGGTAGAACGACTGTTGGAACAGGAGAAGGCCATAGCACAGGTCCTGGGAGCAGACAAGAAAAGCAGGCACCTGGTGCCCACCTGGCAGGACATTGACGTGTTGGAGTCAATTAATAAAGCTGTAAGTCCACTGAAGGAATTCACTGATGCCTTATCTGGTGAGGCCTACGTGAGTGTCTCCTACCTCAAACCGGTAATCCACCTGTTAAGCAACAGCCTTCTGCAGCCAGAGGAGGGTGAGACCGAGCTCACCAAACAAATCAAGAGCAACATACTCAACTACCTCAACAATAAATACAATGACCCTGTAACACAGGAACTCCTGGACATGGCCTCACTCATGGACCCCCGGTTCCGGACAACCTATATAGCAGATGACCAAGTGGACGGAATCAAGAAAAGAGCTGTTACTGAGCTGATGTCTCTTTCAACTGAGAAAAGCAAATCCCAGCCTGGCACATCTGTGCAGGACCTGCACCAAGAAGAAGCTGCTGAACCTGTTACAAAGAAGAAGAAAACTCTAGCAAGCTTCTTCAAGAACAAGACACCGACAGTGTCGTCTACCTCCCTGTCAGAGCAGGACAAAATTGAAGCTGAGCTGTCATCCTACTTGTTGTCGTCTGAGACAGACCCTGAGACAGACCCACTGCAGTGGTGGAAGCTACATGAAGCTAACTTCCCAAGACTGAGTTATCTGGCAAAGAAATATCTCTCCATTCCTGCCACAAGTGCCCCTTCGGAGAGGGTTTTCAGTACGGGGGGTAATATTGTAACATGCCAAAGAGCATGCCTCAAGCCAGAGGCAGTAGACAGGCTTGTCTTCCTCGCGAAAAACCTGTAGAAAACTTCCTAGAAAGTTAAAGGGATGTTATTTTGTTTGAGGGTATTTTTTTATTATCATTATTTGTTGTATTTGTATCATTCAACATGATGATATTTTTAAATGATGAAACCAGTCTGAAGTGATTTTTGTTTGATGCCAACAGCAAGACTAACCTGGAATTCATGCATTGCAATTATTCTAATAGTTAACTTCCTGCAAGCTATAACAAACCCCAATATTACCTTTCCTGAAATCAACATCCTGTAACCTGATTTATTTTGGACATGTTTTTCTATTTCACTATTATATTAAAAACATATAACAATATATATTTTATTTTTTAAAATGTTTAACTGATGACCTATAGCCTTTATATTTTGTATTGGAACATAACAAAAACATATTTCATAAAACAGTTTTACATTTTCAAAGATATATGAGGCTTTATACTTTCTTTTAATTTTCTTTGAGATATGATTTGTTGAAATGATTGACAAAAGTGTATAATGTATATTTTTCTCACATAACTAAATATGCAACCCAAATTATTCTGGACAGTGATATTTAATAGGTTTTCTTTCCATGCAGGTGCATTTGGAAATAATAGAAATGTTGAAATTGAAATGAAACCAGATGCAGTCAACATTTCTAACATCAGATTCAGTATTGGCATTTTTTTCATCCGTGAACCTTTGTTGGAAATGTGGATGATCCCAAAATAAAATGTCAAGTCCTCGCATCTTTACTCCAACCATCTGTTTTATTCTTCTTTTTACTCGCCATACTTAACTCACCACATCCAGGAGGATCCATATCATTTCAGAAAAAAATCGAGGTTTAAATCGAAAATCGTCCATTAGTTAGAAAAAATCGAGGTTTTATTTTTAGGCCAAATCGCCCAGCCCTAGCCAGAACTAACGAATCAAAATACTTTAGTGGTACTTTAGTGGTTGGATGTCGACAACATACTCCAGATCTTGGGTGGCCTCCGACTCAGAATCAGACATGATAACGAAACTAAGTTGTACTATCGGCGGACGCAGCTGTGAGCGATAAGCCAGGTGGAAATATGTTTGTACACTCTGACGTCACGCGCAGCGCCATCTTGCGGAGACGAGCGTATTTAATGGCTGAGAAATAAATCGTCGGACTTGGTGTTGGGGGTTGAACAAAATAAATATTACGTATTGCCAGACGCATATTATCTCCGATTTTAATACTGCAATATCATAGATAGTGTTGTAGCTATATGATTTCGATTTTACTGGCAATTATAACAAAATCTTTGCATTTGATCTTTAAACTCAGTGTGCTGCTCTGTGATGCTAGCTCAGATACTTGGCATCTCATCTTGGGTGCAAAGTCATCAATGTTTGGGCTCAGGCTCTGAGCTGAGGAGACCCTCAGGATGGAGTGAAGGTGTGAGAGCAATATACCGGCGGGCCAGATCTAATAGGAATTAGAAATTATCCTGCGGGCCGAAATTAAATCCACCAAGGGCCTGATTTGGCCCCCGGGCCTCGAGTTTGAGACTGAGGTATGATGAGTTGTAGTATCTTCAATGTCTTCTCCGGCCATAGTCTCTCTGCTACTAATTATTCCCATACTACTTCTAAACTTAGAAAGTATTTGCACTTCTGCTGACTGTAATCACTGCTGGTGTCAGGAACTTTTTCCCATTTGCTCTGTACAATCACAGCGATTGGATTAGATACAGGACACTGAGAGGGCTTCTCTGACTGCAAGCATACCGCAACAAAAAAAAAATGCATTAAACATTTTAATCAAGTTTTCAATTACTGTTTCTTTGGATACAACACCCTCAGACAGCATTTCCTCCCGTCGGAGCCTCGCCGTCAGACACATGATTGTCTGGTGAGCTGGACAGCAGAGCAACGAAAAAAAGCTGCAGGAAATAAGTCCCAATTCTCTGCCTCTCTCACTCTTTATTCACAGTAATCCCCAGGATGATAATGGGTAATGGATATCGAGACACACACACACACACACACACACACACACACACACACACACACACACCCCCACACACGCTGAGGGGTGCAGGTTCCTGTGTCTAACATCCAGTGTCCCGGGAACTTGTATTCACGGTGATTAGCTGGCTAACAGGATTAGCTTGTCCCCCATTTCTCCATCCGTACGCACCACCATTTGTTATCCTCTCCTCCCTCGCCACAGGTATTCGGGGAAAATGAGGCTGTAAATACGGAGGTGTTTAAAAAAGGCAAAAGTTCATGAACAACTTTCATTGCAGAGAAAGTGAAGAGTGTGTCTTGGTGAGTCAGTTATATTTGACTACAGATTTTCTTTGCTACATGGAGAGAGGAGTTTTGCAATTCAATGGCCTGTTTTTTTTGCACAGTTTTATTTAAAAGTAGACAGTTTTTTTAGGTTATCTTTACCCACACTGTTTGGGGTGTGCTCCAAAATCTGTCTGCAGTGCTGGTTTTAACTTTGTACACATGTTTGCAAATGCAGATTAAGCTGACACACTTCCACAATAAATCACCTTCTTGTGAGAAATGAAGGAATAATATAAGTTTAAAACAAAGTTGTGATATTTAATAAAGTCAAAGCATGCAACAGACTTGATCGATTTCAGCTGAAAGGACAGGTAGTAGTACAAGTAACGTGTAGTACAAGTATTTGACCCAAGATTACATTAAAATACAGGAAGCTTATACTGACAAACAGCAAGGAGAGGCAAACAGGGAACTAAAGGATTTACAGAACAGTCTTTCAAATGGTAGAAGACTTAGGATGATGATGAAGACTCAGACTCATGAGGAAGACTCATGATGAAGACTCAGACTCATGATGAAGACTCAGACTCATGATGAAGACTCATGATGAAGACTCAGGCTCATGAGGAAGACGTGATGAAGACTCAGACTCATGATGAAGACTCAGACTCATGATGAAGACTCAGACTCATGATGAAGACTCAGGCTCATGAGGAAGACGTGATGAAGACTCAGACTCATGATGAAGACTCAGACTCATGATGAAGACTCAGGCTCATGAGGAAGACGTGATGAAGACTCAGACTCATGATGAAGACTCAGACTCATGATGAAGACTCAGGCTCATGAGGAAGACGTGATGAAGACTCATGATGAAGACTCAGGCTCATGATGAAGACTCAGACTCATGATGAAGACTCAGGCTCATGATGAAGACTCAGACTCATGATGAAGACATGATGAAGACATGATGAAGACTCAGGCTCATGATGAAGACTCAGACTCATGATGAAGACATGATGAAGACTCAGACTCATGATGAAGACTCCGGCTCATGATGAAGACTCAGGCTCATGATGAAGACTCAGACTCATGATGAAGACTCAGGCTCATGAGGAAGACGTGATGAAGACTCAGACTCATGATGAAGACTCAGACTCATGATGAAGACTCAGGCTCATGAGGAAGACGTGATGAAGACTCAGACTCATGATGAAGACTCAGACTCATGATGAAGACTCAGGCTCATGAGGAAGACGTGATGAAGACTCATGATGAAGACTCAGGCTCATGATGAAGACTCAGACTCATGATGAAGACTCAGGCTCATGATGAAGACTCAGACTCATGATGAAGACTCAGACTCATGATGAAGACTCATGATGAAGACATGATGAAGACTCAGGCTCATGATGAAGACTCAGGCTCATGATGAAGACATGATGAAGACTCAGACTCATGATGAAGACTCCGGCTCATGATGAAGACTCAGGCTCATGATGAAGACTCAGACTCATGATGAAGACTCAGACTCATGATGAAGACTCAGGCTCATGATGAAGACTCAGACTCATGATGAAGACTCAGGCTCATGATGAAGACTCAGGCTCACGATGAAGATGTGATGAAGACTCAGGCTCGTGATGAAGACTCAGACTCATGATGAAGACTCAGACTCATGATGAAGACTCAGACTCATGATGAAGACATGATGAAGACTCAGACTTATGATGAAGACGTGATGAAGACTCAGGCTCATGATGAAGACTCAGACTCATGATGAAGACTCAGACTCATGATGAAGACATGATGAAGACTCAGACTTATGATGAAGACGTGATGAAGACTCAGGCTAATGATGAAGACTCAGACTCATGATGAAGACTCAGGCTCACGATGAAGACTCAGGCTCACGATGAAGACTCAGGCTCACGATGAAGACATGATGAAGACTCAGACTTATGATGAAGACGTGATGAAGACTCAGGCTCACGATGAAGACTCAGACTCATGGTGAAGACTCAGACTCATGATGAAGACTCAGGCTCACGATGAAGACTCAGGCTCACGATGAAGACTCAGGCTCACGATGAAGACATGATGAAGACTCAGACTTATGATGAAGACGTGATGAAGACTCAGGCTCACGATGAAGACATGATGAAGACTCAGACTTATGATGAAGACATGATGAAGACTCAGGCTAATGATTAAACGTCTTCAAGTGTTTATGGTAATAAGGTGTAATGTAGCGGTGGCTAACAGCTTTAGCTCGGCTGCCTTTCTTTAAGGCTCAGTCTCTCTTTTCTCTCTGTGCTGCAAGCTGCAATCAGCTGCATGTGGAGCAGCGTTGCTATCGATGAACCTCTTCCAGCTTCAGCTTTTTATTTCACTTCTCTGGAGGCTGAAGAGGAGTTGTGGGGCCAGAGGACGTTTGGGGGTTGGATGAAAGGCTGTGTGTTGCTACCTGAGTGTCGATTTCCTAACGGAGACAAATCAAACGCCCCTCGATGTCCAGGAGCTCGGGGCCATTTCAAAGTGCTTGGATCTCAAACCAGAGGTATGTGCAACTCCTTTCAACCGATACCCAGCAGAATTCAGCAGGATTATTCTCCACAATTGCTCTCCATTACGTTCAAAGAGTCATAACCTGTTGAACTACAATCCCCATCTCTCCTGCCTTTGTTCAACTTTCAGAGCAAGCTGGCAGCATCCTTGTTAAACTCACTGTGGTGGAAATTCTACACTTAATCACCTGGTAAGAAAAGAACAAATATACAAGCTTAAACCAAAGTTGTGTTATTTAATAAAGAGATAGCATTTAACGTAATAAATCTTATTTCCAGATGGAAGGACAGATAACCGGAGGTGT